TGAAATTTTCCCGTAGTTTAATTATCATTCAGTTGATGAAACTCTACCACTGGCATTCAATTGATTTGGATTTCAATAGCATTGAACGCTTCAATGGAAAAATAAAAGTTTTATAATTCTTAAATAAATATGATAAAGTAGCTTCCGTAATGTTTCATTCAATTTTATACAATTGAATGCATTGTATGAAAAAAATGATAAACTTGTATGGAATGTAGAAAGTTTATGTTGCAATATATTGAACTCTACAAAGTTCAACATATTATGAATGCCTTCAATTTATCTAACTCTTAATATTGTTGCCTAAACTAGCAATTACATCAGGTGGATTCCATCAGCACTTGCCTTAGTTAACATGGGGATTCCGGTGGAATCTTCGATGTGTAGTTCTTGCATTGGTAGTTTAAAGTGTGCAAACCATTTACTGATCAACTGTCCATTTGCAATATCAGTAAGGGATAAGATATTTAACTGGTGTGGCATAAATGTTTTTGATATTCCCAATGTTGGAGAGCTAATGTAGCTAGCAGCATCTTGGGGTCAATGCCCTAAGAAACGGGAGAGATTTAGAGGCATTTGTTATGGACTATTATGGGAGGTGTGGAAAGCTAGGAATAACAGATTATTCAAAAGGAGATTCCTCTCTCCAACATGTGTGGCAGAAAACATTAAGGCGGTGGTACACCTATGGGTTAGTTGTAAGGGTAAATGACTAAATTGTAAGTAGGAAAATTGGAAAAACTCCCCGTTTTCTTTTTTGTAATTGTCTGAATTTTTGTTGTTTCCGTTTTGCTCATGCCTAGCTACTTGCTGATGCAAAGTGCTTTTATAAAATTTTGGCCGTTTCAAAAAGCAAAAAATAAAAATAAAAAAAATAATAAAATAGCAATTACGTACACCTACTAGCTCTTCATTTATTTTGTTTGAAATAATAAATAATAACTAAGTTTTTTATTTTATTTTATTTTAATCTATTGATAATGATATTTATCATATATAAATATTAATTATTTGACATTTTATTGTTCTTAGTGGGTGATTATATATACACATATATAACTAACAATATAATTAAAGTACTTGTCCATTGCATATATATATATATATATATATATATATATATA